CTGCCATGGCAGGAAAGAATGCTGGGGTCAAACGACCCCAGCAAGGCGTCTATCTCGCCTCCTTTTGAAGACCCTCAAGGTAGGAGCGAGCACCACTTCCCTTGGAAGTTGGTTCCAGATCCTAGCCGCCCTGACTGTGAAGTAGTGCCTCCTGATGTCTAGCCTGAACCTACTCTCCGTCAACTTATGGCCGTTATTCCTAGTTACTCCTGGTAGTGCTCAGGGGAACAGGGTCTCTCCCATTCCGTGCTGGTCCCCCCTGGTAAGTTTATAGATGGCCACCAGATCCCCTCTCAGCCTTCTCTTGTGGAGGCTGAACAGGTTCAGGTCCCGTAGCCTCTCCTCGTAGGGCCTGCCCTGCTGCCCCCTGACCATGCGGGTGGCCCTCCTCTGGGCTCCCTCAAGGTCATCCACATCCCTCCTGAAGTGCGGTGCCCAGAGCTGGATGCAGTACTCCAACTGCAGCCTGACCAATGTCGCATAGAGGGGGAATGTGTTGTTTTTTTCAGCTTTGAGGCATGCACTAAATCCACTTATTTGTAGAATGATTTATTGATGTGCATGGGGAATGGGTTTCCAACGCTATCACCCACTTCAACCTCATTCTATATTGTCCGTGGCAATAAAAGCCAGAAAGTGCCATAAATCATCTTGCCAGCGACTAATGACTCATAAAGTTAAAACTCTTTTACTTCTGAGTACTTTTGCTGAGTTTTGGGTGTCTCACTGAAGATGAGAAAATGCAGAATACTTCAAAATGCAGACAAGCCCTGCAAAGTTGCTGATATGCCTGGTCTGTAGCTCTCATCCAACCTGTTTTTTATTCTGTTGAAGGTAATTAATACTTAACACTTATTTACATGTTTAAAGCATTTTAAGGAGACGGAGTATAGTGAGATATAATAATATAAGTGTAATTATATATCTAATTCTCACAACAGCATTTTGAGGTTATTCACACCCTTGCCTTGTGTGGCAATAAGGCCAGCCCTGCAGGTGTAGCTGGTCCTCCTTAGGACAGCCCACAACTTAAAAAGCTGGCAGGTGGTGGCAATAAGAAGTCTCATGTGACTGCAGGGGAGGAAGCTGGCTGAGGGAGCCTGAGCTGGGTCAGGGATCCAGCTCAGGCAGAGAGCTGCAAGCTGGTAGTTGCAATAGTGGAGCCAAAGGGAGCAGCATGCTTTGGGAGGGAGTGCAATCACTCCAGAGAGACGCGGCAACACCTGGAGAACAGCATAGGAACTATTGGGGATTGAGGGATCCTGAGAGGGTCCCCAGCCTGGCTGAGGCTGAGAGTAAGGGGCCAGACAAGCAGAGCCCCAGATAAAGCCTTAAGGAGCTTGGGTGCCCCTGAGAGAGTGGGGCAAGGCCCTCAGTTAGGGAAGCAGACCACTGTAGGAAAGGGAGCAGGTTCGGAGAGCTCCGAGGCCAGAGGCATAAGGAGAACAGTGCCAGGCCAGAGTGTGCCTGAGAAAGCTGAGAGTTAAGAGCATAGTGGGGCTTGAGGCCCAGGAAGTGGTATAAGAGTTGATATGGCTCAGAGCATGAAGCCCAGAGTGAGAGAGAGGGCAGATGACCATGGAGGTGTTTCGTCCACCTCGACTGTCCAGGGCCCAGAGGGGCCAAAGGGCAGTTGCCTGCTTGAAAGAGGCAAGCCAGAGCCACAGAGGGCCTGGCACTGCAACTGGCCCAACCTGGGGCCAGGACCATAGAGGGTCGCAATGTCCTGACATACTGAGGACCACAGATGAGAGGTGGAAGCCAGGGCCATCCCAGCACACATGATGGGGACTAGGAGAGCCTCCTGAAGGTAGAGTTGTAAGGAGCTGGGCATATCGTTGAATAGGGGCAGGGTGAGCCTGAGCGAGATCTGGGGCTAGAGCAGAGAAGAGCCTCCCGGAAGGGAGAAGGTACACCCTAGGGGAAAGCTAGGGAGAGCTTGGAGGCAGGGCAGGGTGGCCTGCCAGAAGGGTCCTGGGTAAGACCTGAAACTGCACCCTGCTGGAGTTGGCTGGTGTGGTGGGACTGCCTGTGGTGGGGCAGCCTCCAGGAAATCCCACGCCTCGTCTCCCCAGTGAAAAGGAAGGATGGGGCTCTGGAAAGCCTTAACCACTGCTGCCTTGTGAGGGTACCCAGTGGAGGGGAAAGGCTAAGGGAGCACACCCTGACAGAAAAGCAAGGGGTCCCAGAAGACAATGGGGGCCAGGAGGGCCTTGAGGTCCCTGGGAGTAGGGGGGAGCCTAAGCAGGTAGGCCAGGCTATTGCAAAGAAGCCCGAGCTAGTAGGCCAGGCTGTAGCTTGAGCGAACTGGGACCAGGCTACTAGAGGTTTGAGCAAGTCGGTGCCAGACCTAAAAGAAGGACCTGAGCACACCTGAGCCAGGCCTAAGGTACAGGGTAAACCTGAGCCGGTAGGGCCAGGCTAGCAAGTAAAAGAATAGTTCTGAGCCCAAGGGCCAGGCGATCTAAGATAAGAAAGCCTGAGCAGATAAGGCCAGGTCCTTAAGAGTGTGGAGGAGACCTGAACTGTGAGGCCAGGCTATAGTAAGGAAGACCTGGGCAGACAGGGCCAGATCCTTAAGGTTGGGGAAGAAGGTCTAAGTAGAGAGGCCCAGCTATTGAGATGTTGTAGAGAAGGCCTGAGCAGAGAGGCCAGGCCACTTGAGAGTGGGGAGAGCCCAAGCTGCCATGGGCTAAAGGTGAGTGGCGATGGCCTGTGTAAACAGATTTTAAACACCATCAAGCCAAGGGAGAGCATAGGGCCTGAGTGACAAATAGCAGGCCAGTTTGAGGAGAGGGACCTGCATTAGGTGTCATCAGGCCTATAAGACTGGGAAGGGGCTTGAAGATCTGCCAACAGGCCAGCAGGAGCAGATAGGGTCCGTACGGGACCTGGGAGAATTATGGGCCAGTATGAGTGGATAGGACCTGCATAGTGCCTGAACAGAGAAGCAGGCCAGCCTGAGCAGAGAGGACTTGCACAGGACCTGAGAAGATGGCCACAGGCCAGCACGTGTGGAGAAGGCCTGAACAGGACTTAAACTGGTAACAATAGGCCAGCCTGAGTGGAGAGGGTCTGCACAGGGCCTGGGTGTGGCCGTGACACCCCCTGGTGGCTCCGTGACCGTGCCTTGCTCTGCCCCTAGGTTGCCTTCCCATCTCTCCTGCCACACCTTGATGGAATAAATAGGGAGGCTGCCCACAGGCCCTTGCTAGGCCTCAGTCCCACTGGACCCTCTGCGCCCAGGCCCCTCGCTCTGCCTCACTGGTAACTGTGTCACTGAAGGCACCTCAAGCCTTAAGGTCCAATTGCATGGCTCCAAATCCTTCCCTTTACCATGCCTCATGCCTCACAGGTGTTACAAAGATGTTATTCCCTCTGTTGGGGCTTCGGCCTTCTTGGCCTCAGCCCCTTTAATCTAGCTCGGCCTTCTGGCCTAGGCCCGCTGTGTCAGACCTGGCTTTGAGGCACTAGCTTCAGTTTGTCCCTTCCAGTCACCAGGCCCCTGCCTGCTGGGCCCCAGTCCTCTATGTGGCTGCACCCCAGGCCCCTGTGTACTTCAGCCTGCCTCTGGCAGGGCTCAAGGCAGTCAAGTGTCCCCTGAGCACTAATAAGGCCTCCGTACCTCCCCTCATCCCAAACCTCTGGTAGAAACAGTAGTGTAAATCATATACCCCTGGGCTGTAACATAACAATGGAAGCAGCCCTCAGCACCTTTAAGAGGGCAAACCTTTACCCCAAATATAGCATGCCTCCCTGTTTCTGTAGGCAGCACACAGTCAGCCCAGCATCCCTGGGAGGCTCCCCTGGGCAGGAGTTCCTTCCCCTACGGCAGCCAGGAAGAGATGCCCCTGACCTAGCCTCAGCCTTCAGCTTATAAATTCCAGGGCCCTGCCTACATCCGGTCAGCTGATCGCTTGCAGGTGTCTGCTGATTGCCTCATTTTGCCCTGTTGCCCTGGCAACTGGCAGGTGCTGCACCCTGCCTGCCCTGCAGTGCTTCCTGGCTGGGCTGCCTTTTTCTCAAAGTAACAGAGAGCCCAGCGTTCTCTGTTACAGTGTATAACAACAAACCATACAGGATATGACTAAGTGGTAACAGAATAGGACAAATTAGAGGTCCGGGAAGTCACGACCTGAGGCAGGGCTCAGCTCAGATAGTAAACAAGAAGTGGATCAGTACTGGGCAGGACTATAATAGGAGTGTCATCTGTGAGGCATGGTCCACGGTGTAGGAAAGGTCAGAGCCGTGGGTGGTGGCCCATAAGGCTGAGGCCACCAAGACAGCATGCACGACAAAGATCATGGTAGCCTCCCACAATCCAAATATATAATATCCCAACAAATGCATGGCAGGTGAATGCAGGCAGACAGCACAAATAAGGAGGCACAATTTTTTTTTTTGGTGGGTGCCCTGGCCCCCCTGTTACACCTTCACAGAGCAAATGTTGTTTTTGTAGTCACATGGCTACAATAGAAGATTTCTGAGCAGTGGTTAGCAGACAGTGTGGTCTATGTTGTCTCTAAACAGTCCTGAAATGTTATGGTTTGATGAGGATGGACTGGGGGTCTGTGCAACATGTATAAAAATATAAATAATAGGGAGAGGCCTCTTGAAATAGATGCTTGTTCTACTACCAGTAGCTGTATTGAAATAGAGCTCTGGGAAGCCTAGGGAGTGAGGGATAGTCTATGTGGTTCAAACAGTAAGATGGGCAAGGTCTACGCTAAAAATGGTTTGCTGGCCAACCGTTCTAGAGCAGATGTCATTATACTAGTGAAAGAGTGTGTTTGCCAGCTGGTATCATTCCCCAAACAAAATAAGCTATCCTGGCAAATGCAGTTCTATGCTAGCGTATTTGTGCCTGCCCTTAAGACTTTGACCAGTATAAAATGCTGTAAAAAATAAGCACCCCCCTAATGAATTACTAGCCTAAGCAACGTTTCTAGTGTACATGTGGTCTTTCTCTTAGTAAGTAGCTCATTTGTATAAGCAGTAGACAGGAGAGATATGTTGAAACGTGTTTGCCACCAGCTAGGGTCAGGCTTTGTTATGAATCCTTTGACAACACAGGGATTGTTTTTATTTTCACGTGACAAGAATGGAAAGTCCCCATACCAAAAATGAAAGTGAAAATACCCAGCTTTTAAAAATCACACACATAAAGTAAAGACAGCCAGTTCTGGTGCAGCACTCAGTCGGAGAACAGCTGACTAACAAAACACAAGGCTGCAGAAGCTGTAGTCAAGAAGATCGACAAAACAGGACTTTGAGTTCTGCCTCTTCTTGTTGCTTTTGGAATTCAGCATTCACTATGATGCCTCTCCTGTAAGTATCCTCCCCATTGGCTACTCTGTTTTTGAGATGTTGTTTTGGCGATTATACTGCACATGTGAAAAACAAGTCTCTTTTCTGAGCCTTTTAAAGAGACACCGGCAATTTAAATCCCTGCTTCCATTTGTTTTGTTTTTTTTACTTGTTTCTCTTATATGTAGAATGTAAACTCAGTCTAATCAAAAGGGATATGGGGAGAGGACTGTTTACTTTCCATATTTGCTTCTTTTGTGTATTTGATGATTGAGGGGTATAATCAGTTTCTTTCTGCATTATATTTTGTGAGTTTGACAGCACTCTTTGTGTAGCAAATGTCACGTATTCATGTCAAATTTTCACGCAGCAACAGGAAAGTGAAAACAATTTTTTAAATAGAAAAATGAACTAAAAAAAAAAATCATAGAAGCTGTGACAAAACCCTGGGCTGTCAGGGTGCTCCCAGAGATACACCTGTTTGTGTAAGCTTACCAGTCCCCCACTGCCTTGGGTGGGTCTGCCCAAGTTATTGATCTGCCCAGAAGTTATAACTGAGCATAGGCAACTGAGTCAAATGACAGAAAAAAATAAAAGGGTTTATTTCATAGGAAGAAAAAGTGATCAAATGCTTTGACAACAGAATATGGTAAAACAAACCTGACAAAAACTGACAACCTCCTTAGGCTACTCTCAGACTACCACCTAGCCTTCATAAAACGTCAATGAAAATTCCCCCAGGGTAACCACCCCGTCAGTCACAGCCAGCTCCCTCCACCCAGGGGCCTCCAGTCCCCCTCTCCTCCCAGGGAGCCCTCCCTGCCTGGCGCTACTTCCAGAACATTCCACACAGCTCCCCCGCACTGACAGAGGCAAGCAGGTGAGATCAAGAACAAGTAAAGACCTAAAATTACCCTCCTACAACAACATGTCAACCCTACCTAACATTCCTCTTGTTTCTTCCCCCTCCTCCGTCCCCTCCCTTTTTCCAGTGGGTTAGATTTGTGGTTAACGAGAGTTGAATTGACTGAAAAAGTAAAATGAGATTATTGGCATTTCTGTGATGCATCTCCCTGGCTTCCTTGCTTGAACAAAGTCAGGGTGCTCCAATCATGTCACCTGTGTCTGCTGGGCCAAATTTTTCTCTCATGTCCGCAGGGCAGAGGTGTTCATTTCAAAGGGGTTAAGGAACCATGGAAAAGCAGTGCAAATGACAGCAGAATCAGAAACCTGTGTTTTTTTGTGTATGTGACAAGGTGTTCCTAAGAGCACTGATTAAAGATTGAGCTTTGTGCTCTGCTAACGATGCCTACAGGTGTTTAGGGGCTGTGATCTAACTCATGGCACTTTATACAAAGCACCATGAGTTAGAGCCCCCTCCCCACCAACCCAACAGACACCTGTTGGACTGGGGGAGATCAAGCTTGCCTGCACTGGCCCTGGCCAGCAGCTGGGAGCACTCCAGTGGCCTCCAAGGACACTGCCAAACCATCCCTCCCCCCAGCCTACCCCGCACCCTCCAGCTCTGGGGCTGTCAACAGGGGAGAGAGGGGGAAAGAGAGGGAGCATCACAGAGCTGCCAGTAGCTTTTCCAGGCTGGAGCTGGAGGGGGGAAGGTGAGGTGGCCCGGCCCAACTACCCCAATACTATAGCTGGGGGGGGCACAAGGTGAGGGGGCTCTGTTCCACCCCACTGCCCCTCAGCTCCAGCCAGGCAAAGCAACCAACAGCTCCATGCTGATCCCTCCTCTACCCCTCCCCTTTTTCTCCTCTCCTTCCCTCCCCCACTGAACACACAGGGTTGGGTCTAGGCTGGTAGTCACCAACTTGAGCACCAGCCCAGCCCTACAAAGTGTGAAAAATTAACCCTGGAGGGAACACAAATTCCCTAAGGTGCTTTGCTTTAGAACACCTTCATCTAATACCTCATTTGACCAGGGTTACTTTTTTACATGATCAGCCATTTTACAAGTCCTCTGTAGCCAACCACATGCGTTACATCACAACTGTAGAGCACTTTCAGGGGCCCAATCTTGTGAAAAATGTAACTTATGTAAGCACCCTATGGAACTAGGCAGCTGATGCAACTGAGCAAATTAAGTGGTAACAAAAAGTATTACATCAAAAGCAGAGGACTGAAATCAGCTGACTCAGTCACATTAAAATGGGTCGGAGAGCACTGCCGACAGGTGGGGCCCTGGCATGGAGCTAAAGGGGGAACATCACCTGGCCATCCCTCCCTCAACCTTTCAGGAGCTCTGGCTCAAGCAGTAGAGAGGACAGAGAAACAGCACCTGGTGTTTTGCTGCTGCTACTAGAGGGGATGTTACCTCCTATTTTGTCACAGAAAAACAATGCTTTTTTGGCCACTCAGCATGCATGTCAGCTGCAAAAAGGGGAACCTCTGGCCCCTGAAATGTGCACTGCTGCTGCCCTCTAGGGCACAATACTGGCCAGTTAAACCTCTGAGCTGATTTACACCAGATAAATCTGGATCCCTATGTGTGGGCTTTGGATCAGGCCTGCATCGTCCCATGTAATTAAAGTGCCTGCACCGTCCTATGTATCAGCATCCCGCATTTCAAAATGGTACGGGGGTGCTTTAACTAAAGCTCAACTGAAGCTCGTCAAATTAGCTTTAGTTAAAGCGCCCCCTGTGCCATTTTGAAGTACAGGCATGCTAGTATACGAGACATGGAGGCTGCTAGGGGCATGCTAATTAGCATGCTCCAGCAGACTCCATTAATCGAATCTGCTCCAATGGACTGTAATTATAACATGTCAGAACAGCCTCCCTGCATGTCTATAGGGACCTTGCTTAGCTATCTAGCATTAAGTTATAAATGAAATCCTGAAACCCTACATTCAGCTGCTGCCTTAACCACAGAGGCACCTAAATTGCCTAGGTACCTCAGGGTGTCTACATGGTACAATGAACTGCCAGACAGACATACCAAAGGTAGCTCTCAAGCTCAGGGTCTGGTCACACATTACACTAAGGACATGTTTTATTGTAGTTTTCAGTTGCTGACTGGTCTTTCATTTTCCTATCTTCCTTGCTTAATCTGCTCTTTGCACTGTGAGCAAGACCTGGGCAAAAAAACAAAAGGAATAAAGAAACAACACCTTACTAATCACGTACAAGTTCTTCTTTTGCTTAAAGGCAGACAAGTTTCGTTTGCTTAAATGCATGCAACATCAGTGAAAGAGAAACCTACTGTCATTTACAGGAATCTCAAACACAAAAGCTCTTCAGCAGCAGTAAGAGGATATCTATAAGACCTTTGTGCATTTTGCACTTAGAATGTGTTTTATTTTAGATCATAGTAAGTGTTACTATGAGTTTAAAAGTTTTCTGAGCAGCTGCACAGCAATGCTTGCTAAATAAAACATGTCATAAGTGCCAAAGTCATTAAAGACTCTGGTACACTGCAGTGTGCTGCAGGGGCTGGGACCGACAAACAACTGTTTTTGGTCCCAGCTGGCCCACTGCACCAGAGTCTCTTGACAGTATTACCTCCATGGAGCAGTGAGGTGTTAGCTCAACCCTTTAGGTATATGATTGAGAGCAGGGGTGGGCAATTATTTTGGCTGGTGGGCCACTTGAAAAGTTTTGGTAAGCTGTTGAGGGACACACACACAAAATCTTTCAGAAATAATCATTTTGAGAAATTATAGATAAAAAACAAATCATACACTAAAAATCAAATATCTACTATAACATATTTTAATTTTATTTTAAAAATCTTTTTGTTCTGAATTTTTTTGTGTGTAGTGTATATAGAGGTGAGCTGCATAATAAAAGGGGGGTGGGAGGTGTAGAGTACATGTGCCGGGGGGGACTGCCTGTGGGCTAGGTCCTGGAAGCTTACCAGCAGTGAAGGGAGGAGGACGTGGGGGTGCGTGCAGCAGAGCTAGCCTGGGCTGTGCAGGTGTGGTCCATACTCCTCACCCCCCATTCAGCCCATGGCTGTCCACATGGTGCTCCATATGGGACTGAGCACCACCTGCTCCCACCCCATGCCCTCCTCCCATCCACATGCTGGGGCAGGAACTGCCCAGAGCCCTGCTGCTCCATCAGGGGAGAAGCTGCAGGTAGTATTCAAGACAAAGTGGAACAACTTCAATAACAGATATCAAAAGAGCCCCCACCCCACCCAAAAGGGGTAAAGGCATTCACATGGGAGATATAGGTTCAAATCTTCTCAGGCATCACTACCTCCTGTGGTTGCAGGGCTCTTGGGGAAAAGGGCTGAGGTGCTAAACTCCCAGGATAGGTTTCATGGATGTGAATCTTGAGTAGAAGGACACACCTTCCTGAAGCTCAGTGCTAGGCATCTAACTCCTTAAAGGGAGCTGAGGCTAAGCATTCAGCATTTCCTACTGAAAACATAGGCAAGCAGGACTGGGATGAGGGGTAGGGGAGCTGTGGGGCAGCAGGTGAGATTGAGGCAGGGAGTGGTAGTCTGTGGAGGTAGTACTGCTTAGTACTGGACATACCCCATTTGAAAATTTTCCTAATAGTAGATCAGCACTAACAGGATGCTAATGTTAAAATCTAGTCAGGCTGGGAGAAGAAAATGTTGGTAAGCCTCAAGTCAGCAGATCAATTCCCACCTCTAGGCATTGAGACTGTCATCTGCTGTTGCTTATGACCATGACCAACAACTGAGTATATCACCAGCAGCAGCACACTCTTGAAAATCAAGCACACAGCTCATATCCATGCATCCCAGTACTCCCACCCTTTTGAGGAGTGATACAAACACACCTTTGCATGCAGTACACCTACCAGCTGCAACTTTTATTGCTGTTTGGCCCCCGAACTGATCTAGATGCTGGGAGGTGACTGTAACAGAAACTGTCATTAATTAGTCCCAGAATGCAGGCTCCTTTTGGATCCAGAATGATCTGGCAAAGACTGGAGGCAAGAAGCAGTGCTGCCACTACTTTAGAAAGAGAATGGGGCAGGAGACAGTGAGAAGAGATGGATGTCAAAGGGTTACAGTGAATTTGCAGGATACTTTCTATTGCAGATTAGTGGCAGATGAGGTTCTGAGCACACCACAGAAGAATCCCCTCACTTCCCGTCCATGCTTAGAGGCAAGATCCTTCCCTTCCATTCCCCACTACCCCACCTGGCCCTGATGTTTTCCTCCCAGGGCAGGGAGAGCTTCAGAGCAGCTTCTGCCCATTCCAGATGGGATGAGTAGGGCCTGGGCTCAGTTGGGAATGCAACACAATGGCAGCAATGGTGATGTGTGGGTGGGTGGGTTCCCCCTCCCTGCCCAATCCCTCCAGGAGCAGGCATAAGAGGGAACACCCTCCTCCATCATGGTTGCTGTTGCCACTGTCCCAGCTGAGCCCAGCCTCTGCACAGCTTGGCTGGAGTAGGCCAGATAGGCTCTAAAGCTTCCTGTGCCCCCAGGACAGCACAGAAAGCAGCAGCAAGAGAAGGATGGGGAGAGGAAGGGATATGTCTTTAAGCACTGAAGGGAAACGAGGGGAATCTCTTGAGGTGTGATCCAGTCCAGAAGGATCCACCCCTGGGCACTCTTCCTCTCCCTCCCTCCCATCTCCTGCTTAGCCTGTTAATGTTCATTGGAGGTTAGCATATCAATCCACATGCTATAAGTCAGCTGACTGCTTCCTCTGTCTTCCTGTCAAGGCAAGAAGCAATAGGGCTGCTTGTTTGTGATAAGCAGGGCTGCTATTTCTGGGGACATGAGCTTCCTGCATCCCCTTGGCCCCAGAGCTGGAGTTGGCATCAAGGCTGGTACGAATGTAGATATGCTAAATGTATTAAATAAAGGTTTCTCTTTCAAGTGAGACCAAGCTCCTCTATGAGCTGTATGCTTATTAAAGAGTAGATGGCTTATTTGTATATAAGCCTTGTCATCTGGGCCCTAATGTTCCTTCCTCTCCCCAGCTGTGGTGTACAGTAGGGACAGCTACCTTCTAACTCAGCATTGGCTGCAGTGTCACATATTACGTGAATAACTTGAGAATGAAAAGTGGTATTTTATATATAAATTCCCAGAATTTTGCTGAGCTGTATGGGAAGCAAGGAACCTCAGGTCACCTTTCCCTATTCCAGCAGGTGATTTACACTAAAGTTGGACTTTTCTAGTTTGATGTGCATTCAAATCTGTAAGATTCTAACCAGTGTGTAGGG